TTATGAAATCTATGTACATTCTGAATAAAAAGCATTAAGTATTCATGAAGTTATTGTGTGATGTGTCTGGCAATACACTGTGCATACATTTATATGGATATATAAATTGAACACAGTGTTTTAAATATAAAACAAATATTACTTACTATTTACAAAAGGACAGTTAATGCAAATACTAGAAAATTTAAGGTTTTAAAAGTTACCAGATATAGTATAAAATTGATGGCATATGCTACACAATAATTTTAGGAAGTTCCTAACTTCCCAATTTTTTGCAAGAAAGAAATCCTTCAATTTAATTTATTCATGTTGCTTTTTGGTGCTCAATGTAATCCAGTAACCGTTGGAAAAATATGCATGTATTTCTTAACCAATTGTTGGTGCATAGCCAAAAATGTATATTCACACAAAACAAATTCCTACATTGTAAAATCATGTCTTAACAAAATCATGTCCTACATATTATCCATAAACAACACTTTTCGAAAATTCAGACTTTATCTTTTCTGTTTAAAGTTGATCCAAACCTCTGTCTGCATTTTCAGACCTAATGTTTTTGATATTTATTGTCTATGCAGAAGCACTGAGATTTTTTAAAATATTTATTTTTAAGAGAAAGAGAAAGAGCACGGGTGGGGGAAGGGCAGAGAGTGAATTAGGCAGAAAATCAGGGGCAGGCTCAGCACTGTCACTGTCAGCACAAAGCCCGACGTGAGGCTTGAACTAATGAACCGTGAGATCATGACCTGAATTTAAGTCCAAAAGTCAACCAACTGAGCCACCCAGGTGCCCCAAGAACAGAGATTTTTGATGATTCTCCAAATACTTTCTCTTCATTAATCATAGCTTCCCAACTTAACAACAGATTTCAGAGAGTTACATAATAACATTTAACTTCTCTCCGATCCTGTATCATTTACCACTTTGCATCATGCTTGATGGGATAAGGTACACATTTTATATTATTTTCAAATTACTGTCCACCCCTAAACCCATCAATTTAGTCACTATTGTATCCCCTGCGGTCTATATGAATTTTTAACCTGTTACTAACACTATTACTTAAGGCTAATCTTGCATACTACAGTTTCAAAACAAAATAATTTTATGCCAATATTACTTTCCATTCTGCTTCTTTAATACTCATGAGATTACTAGAATCACTGTCAGTGGAGAAGCATGTATAGAAGTTAAGCCCATCCCTTAATTTTATTAACTTGAAGTAGAGTCCACTCAGATTACAAAGTACCGATAAGAAGTGTGATGCAATAACAAGTATGCTGTGCAGAGAACATATTACATCAGTGACCAGTACTGACCCCTTGTTACCAGTTTGTTCCAACTCCTGTTCACAGTGTTGACCTCAGCTTCTGTATCATTGAGACACTTATTTTGTGAAAGATCTTTCTTTTATCATTATGCTAACAGAGAAGCTCATGCATTTCAAAACAACTTGTCTTTCTTGTTTGTTTTGAAAGAAAAATCTTTCAGAACTTGTTAAAAATAATATGAAGAGGTTTATCAGAAGCAAATGCAACATTCAATTACTACCAACTTTATTTAGCCAATCTTTCTGGTACATTTAAATCCTATAAAACTTGTAATGAAAGGTTATGATTGGTAAATTTGATAACCTAAGAAATGAAAATTCTAGTGAAACTTTTTTTTAAAACCTGAGAAAACATTTAATTGAATAATTTGTAAACTTTTTGAAATTTCAAAAACAGAACTAGTATCAGAACAGTTAATACATTGTTAACAAATGAACCTCATCACAAGGGTCCTGATGAAAGGGAGACAGGAGAGTCAGAGATGAAGAGGGGACAGGTTGGTAGAAGCCAAAGGTGAAAGAGATTTGAAGTTGTTGCACTGCTGTCCTCAAATATGGAGGAAGAGATAGATCAGTTAAGGATGCAGGAGGCCTCTAGGTTCTGGAAAAGGCAAGAAAAGAAACACTCCTCGGTTTTCATAACAAAGCCTGCCAATACATGGATTTTAGGTCTTTTGACCTCCATAATTGAAGGATACTAAATTTGTGTTTTGGAGCCACCAAGCTTATTGTAGTTTGTTACAACAATAGAAACTTAGTATCTTGAAAAAAACACTTTGCCATTGTTTCTAAGGTGAAGAAGAAAGTTGTTTAAAGAGTTTTGCTTATATTGGCACGCCTGGGTGGCTTAGTCGGTTAAGCGTCCGACTTTCGCTTAGGTCATGATCTCGCGGTTCGTGGGTTCGAGCCCCGCGTCGGGCTCTGTGCTGACTGCCAGCTCAGAGCCTGGAGCCTGCTTCAGTCTGTGACTCCCTCTCTGTCTGACCCTCCCCTGCTCACGCTGTCTCTCTCTCTCTCCTAGAAATAAATTTTTTAAAAAAACATTAAAAGAAAAGTTCTACTTATAATTTTAGCTTCAGTTTTTAAAAAATGTGTTTTATTTTATATTTGAGAGAAAGAAAGAAAGAGAGAGAGGGGAAGAGTCAGCACAAGCAAGGGAGAGTACACTGCTCTGACAGTGAACAGTTTGCTTGGGGTTTTTTCTCTACCTCCCTCTCTACCCCTTCCCCACACTGGCTCACTCTCTCTTTCTCTCAAAAAAAATAAAAGTATTTTTAAAAAATAGATGTTTAGTTGTAATTACTCATGGATCTTACTTAGATAACCTAATCCTAACCCTAATTGTAAATGTTTTTGGTAGCATAGTGAACTTTTATCAGTGCCTTTTAAAAATTCCTCAAGTTCTGGGACACCTGGGTGGTTCAGTCGGTTAAGCTTCCGACTTTGGCTCAGATCATGATCTCATGGTTTGTGGATTTGAGCCCCACATCAAGGTCTCTGCTGTCAGCACAGATCCTGCTTTGGATCCTCTGTCCCCCTCTCTTACTGTCCTCCCCCCCCAAAATAAATAAACTTTCAAAATCATATAAAATTCCTCAAGTTCTGGTAATTCTCAGATTTACCAGATGAACATTTATTTTCAGTCTCAATTCAGTGTATTAAAATTTGATCTCAGAAACTATTAACAGTATTCATGAATGCTCTTTACCTTATAATCCCTTCTTTTCTGCTTATGGGAATATAATGGGTTGTGTTTCCCCAACTCTTTTGATGATAAGTGTGGCCATTACATTGGCCAATAAAATGTGTAAATAGCTGTCAGTTACACTTTTGTGACTCTAAGTGCCAGTGCACCTCCACTGTATAGACACAGATGAATCATTGCATGCCTCCATTAATGTCACCTGCCTGTCCCTTTTTAAGTTTGTGGTATGAGCAAGAAATAAAACTTTGCTGTGATGGGCAATGATATATTAGGTTATATTTTATAAAATACCACCTCACAATCTAACCCAATTGATATACTCCCATCTAAAACTAATTTCAATGATTAAAAAAAAAAAAACCTACAGCATACTTAATCATTACATTTTTTTCTTTACTCTCATTGATTTTGTCCATCATCATTATGAGATCTATATTTAATTTTGGGAAAGGGTGATAAATATCTGTTTCCTGATTATAGATTCTCTAAAAACGAATATATTTTATTTTATTTTTTTTTAATTTTTAATGATTTTTATTTATTTCTGAGAGAGACAGCATGAGCAGGGGAGGGTCAGAGAGAGAGGGAGACACAGAATCTGAAACAGGCTCCAGGGTCTGAGCTAGCTGTCAGCACAGAGCCTGACGCGGGGCTCAAACCCACGAACTGTGAAATCATGACATGAGCCGAAGTCACTTAACTGACTGAGCCACCCATGTGCCCCTAAGAAAGAATATATTTTTAAAAATAAATTATAATTGACTGAATTTCTGTTTAGAAATTTAATTTCCTGCCTAAAAAACATATCCCTAGGGCATACCAGCTTAATAATAAGTTTGTTTCAGTTACTGTGACAGACAGGTTTGCTGTTGGATTTGATATAAAAAATGAGTAAGGAGAGAATATCTGCTTGATCTTCAAATGCAAAGTATAAATTTTAAAGTTATTTGAAGGGAGTAAATTTGAATTAAGAATTTTATTGGAATGCGAATCTTATCTTTCTCCTTGTTTACAACCTTATTCTATTCTTAAATTTTTGTGAAGCTATAGAGCCTTCATAATATTAAATTTTCTCTGTCATGTTCAGTGATTTAATGTTCTACCCTTGAATGTTTCATTTCTACAACAGGTGAGTTATGTGTGAGCCTAAGGCAAAGCTCTAGCTTCGTTCTGCCAAACTACTTTGCCATTTCCCACTCTCCAAAAACACTGAAACACACACTGTCTTTTTCACAAATACACATACACACACATACAAACACACAGAAATCTGTGACTATATACACAGAAATCTATCTCCATTTGTCATTAATAATTTTATATGATTTCACAAAAGAGCTCCACTGGAATACTGTATAGATAATAATTCCTAATTGACCCGGTTGATAACATGCTCTTTCTTATATTTTAACATACATAAAATTTACAAGATCGTTCTAAGATTACCTGAGACAACAAACTACTTTTTTTAACCATTCTTTGGGTCTTACATTATTACATCATGCACTCATCCCATCTACACAGGAAAAAGAAATCATGACCTATTTTTTCAGTTGTGACATAACTGTCTCCCCACTCCATTCTTACTAATTTGCAGAGTTCCAGAATTTCATTTCCCATACTAAATGTTTCTTGCCCGATTATATTTTTCATACTGTGCTGGAGCACCTACTCAGTACTTCACATGTCCCATCATCACTGAGTACCAGTGTTAGAAGAAGTTCCAATGTGGATTTTTTTATAACATTTTTACTATGATCTAATTCACATGCGAATCTATACACCTTTTAAAATATACAATTTAATAGTTTTTAGTAAATCTACAGAGTTGTGTGATCATCATTGCTAACTGACGTTAGAACATCTTATCACTGTCCCTAAAAGCCCCATACACACATTAGGACTTACTTGCCCTTACAGTAGTCCCCTCCCCATTCATAGTTTTGCTTTTGTGATTTTAGTTACCTGAGATCAACCATGATTCAGAAGTAGATGATTCTCTTTCTGAAGTATCGTCAGAGGTCATTAGTAGCCTAACACTGTGTCACAATGCCTATATCATTCCACTCACTTCATCTCATCACATAGATATTTTATGATCTCACACCATGACAAGAAGAAGGGTGAATACAGTACAATTTGAGTATTTTGAGAAAAGAATCACATTCATTATCTTTTTGTACAGTATATTGCTATAATTATTATATTTTATTATTGTTTTTAGTCTCTTGTCATGCTTAACTTATTAATTAAACTTTACCGTAAGTATGTATGTACATGAAAACACGTATATAAAGGGCTTGGTACTCTTTTTGGTGTCAGACATCTACTGGAGGTCTGGAAACGTATCCCCTGTGGATAAGGGGATGCTACTATACTCTCTCGCAAAACAGTCTTGGCAGCCACTAGTCTACTCTATCTCTATGGACTTGTCTATCATGGACATTTCAAAGAAAAAGACTCATGACCAACTGTACAATTGAAAGTAAGTAGACAAATAACACTAGATATTATTTATTTTGAGGGAGAGAGAGAGAGGCAGAGATGCAGAGACAGAGGGAAAGAGAGAATCCCAAGCAGGCCCCACACTATCAGTGAAGAGCCAGACGTGGGGCTCAGACTCACGAACCATGAGAACATGACCTGAGCCAAAACCAAGAGTTGGACACAACCAACTGAGCCACCCAGGCAGCTCATAAATTAACAAAAAATTTATTGTTCCACCGATAGTAGACTTTATGTACATAAACAGTTGATTCCGTTTATATTTTCTAATCTGCAACCTGAAGTATTTAAAATAAGAAATAATTCTAGACACAAGAATCAATCAGAAAATAATAGATTCTATATAAATAGGCAAGAACACAGATTTTACTAAAACTTAGTCTATAATTAACTTATCAGTTATTGTGATAGACTAATAGAACTAAATACTTCCATGAAACAAAGAGCTAATGGGAGATACATCTTTTGATATACCTTATAACAAACTTCAGACAATATTCAAATACTCTATGTGATTTACCTTATGATAAATTATTGCTATTTAGGCTTAGCGAAATTTCATTTTGTCTTTTTCAATTTATTCATATATATATATGTATAAACAAGAGATAACTTTCTAGAAATGCTTACAAGGAAAGATATTGAAATTTTAACCTAAGGATTCCTTTATATTTTTAAATGCTTGGACTTAGTTATTTGGAAATTTATCTTCATACAATCATTGTTTACATTGTTCTGTATAATAATGCAATAAACAACAAAAATCACATATGGAGTAAAATATTATATTACTTGGTTCATTCTAAGTTACCCATTATGAAATTTGAATATTGTGGAAGAAGGAAGAACTTTCAGAGAAGTTTTAGTTTCACAAAAGTGTTAAGGGGAAAGTTATGCTTTTCTGATGATTTGAGTAATATGAATAAGTTATTTGGCCTTAAAGTAGCAGAAAGAATTAATTTTTGAGCACAATGAAATTAAAAAGTGTTAGCTTGCCTGATCTGAACAAAGTAAGATGAATTTTTAATACATTGAATTAATTAGGCACATAATGAGAAATAGAATATATAATATTTCTAATTCAGATAAATCTCAAAATAGCCCAGATCCTAAAAGAAATAAATATCATTCATCATAGACCTTAAATTATGTTTATTGGAAAATATTAATTGCAACAGTTATAACAGAAACATTAGATGAATTCTATTGCTGATTTTGTTTCACAGAATTACATTTCATTTTGACCCTCATCTGTAACTTTCTGCGGAGTTAATCTTAGGACATTAGTCATTTTTGAAGGTGTTAATGTACCATAAAGGATTTGTATTATCATTAGACGTACTGTCTATGCCAGGTGTTACATGTTCTCTGCATCTGCCCTGAAGTTCATTTAACAGCTTATAAATCTTTATGACCATATGATGTGTTTCTGTGATCACTTGCATTCTTAAAAAGATTCTGAAACATATAAAATTATTTTTAAACTTTTTTTTACATAACATAGTACCTATGGATTAATTTTAATACTTTTACTTTACATAATGTTTAGTTTCATTGAGCAACTTTCAGTGTATATGTATATACATATATGGTGATTATATGTTAGCATGCGATATGATATAGCAATTTGGGATCTAATCTCTGTATTTAAAAACACTTTACATTTTCTCAGACTCAGTGTCCTAATCTACAGACCCATTGCATTTGAGCTAGATGATTTATAAGTATAGCTTTTTTCTTTAAATTTTTTGTTTTATGATCAGTACTAAATTGCAGGATCACATAAAATGATGAATGACATTTTATTTCATGTATTAAATAGATACTTTAGCCAATCACAAGTACACTGTACAAAAAATATTTATTTTATTTACATTTATTTTACATTCATATTTTATAACAAATATACCTAACCGTATATCTTTGTGTGCCAATTGTGTAGAATTTATATTAACTAGTTAAAGAAATAGAGCCCAAAGAAACTTTTATATAATTTGACCAGTCAAGTGCCTGAAGAATAGGCTAAGGAAAATATTTAGTTAAAACTTTTTTCCTAAATAAAATTATTTCAAAAAGATAGGCTAACGTCTATATCTAAAAATAGAAGACAATTTGACAAATCCTGTTTTATTTATTTTTTGACAAATCCTATTTTAAAATAAAAGACAGATACTGAAATTTAGTCATTATAATTTATTAATTTGTTAACAATCTTTTAAAATCTGTTTTATAACCCATTGTAAGAGCTAAGCAGTTTTCTCATAATATAGAAACATTTGTAGATGGCATGTCTACTGAAAAAACACATTTCTGAGTACCACAGCAATGCTGCTGAATCAGAATTATCAAAGGCATTTGACTGTTTTCTCCCTTGTCTCTCCCTTCCCTTTCCCCTTTTCTTTCCCTCCCTGTCTCTTCCTCCCTTCTCTCTATTCTTTGCTTCTCTCCTTTTTCTTACTTTCTGTGAAATATCCCTGTAGTTCTTATGAACAGCAATATTAAGGAAAACTTCAGATTTAACACTGGAATATCTAGAGTTTAGGTGCTAACATCTGGCTTTTATGTAGTACATATAATTAGTTTGAAAAGTTGTATGCATCATTAGACCACAGCCCATAACCCTTTAAATTTTATTTTTGTCCTTTGTAAGGTGCTCAAAAGTTTTCTATCTTTATCCTATATATATTTTTTAGTTTATTTCAAGACAGACAGAGACAGCACAAGTGAGGGAGGGGCAGAGAGAGGGGGAGAGAGAATCCCAAGCAGACTCTGCAGTGTCAGCACAGAGCCCAACATGGGGCTCCAACTCAGGAAACGAGGAGGTCAAGAGTCAGACACTTAACACTGACTGAGCCACCCAGGCACCTCAAATTTTATCTTCTATTGATGATTATAATAGACTTATTATAAGAGTATATTTCAACTTCTCCATACATATAGCAGATATTCAGAAATGTTTTAGTCACTGACTCTTCTGTCAGATTTTTAAAATTACAAATAAGCAAAGACTCAATATGGTAATATATTGTTTTAGCAGATATCGAGATAAAATTGATAGGCAGTTTCTGTCCTTTGTTAGTTTTTCTTTTTTAATAGTATCACAAGGAAAAAATAGGGCATACTATCTCATAAAATATCTCAGGAAAGCTACATTTCAGTATAGATTTAAACTAGTATGAGTGAGTAGCATGAGTTTCTAGTGTTTTATTTATGTTTACCCATTTAATTCCTGCAGTAACTCTATGACGTACATTGCAGCTTACATCTGTTTTACAGATGAGGGGACTGAGGTATAGAGACATCAAGAAACTTATTAAAGGCTGTGGCCTAAGAAGTGAAGTTCCAGGGTCTGTGTGTATAATCAGTACATTCTATAGACTTTGAGTGTTTTAGCAATGACCACAAACACATATTATAGTTTAAAAGATACATTTACATCTTGAATGCTCCTCAGTCTAAATTTATGCTCTCCTCTTTTCCCGGGTACTTTTCTAATTATTTCAAATACTTTACTTTTTTCATTAAGAAAGAAATATATATTACTAACATTTCTAGGGTTTTTATGACATAAGGAAAATAATTAGAATAAAATTATAGATGTAAAATGATTATTGTTAAATGATCATTCTAAATTTTTGAGCAAAACATTTGGCAAGTTATCATGGGTTTTGTTATCAATTGTTATGTGACTGTGGACCACTTACAGTCATGAGAAAGGAGGTTTTAAGTTGCTTCATCTTCTTGGAATCTTTGGTCTCTAATTTAACTCTTCTGGGTCCCTCTGTTTTTTAACCCTTTGGCATTACTCTGCTCTCTCATCTGATGTAATAAGACCCAGATTAACAACTATGCAGTTAGTGCTATCTTCTAATTAAAAATATGAAAATCTAATATATATCCTTAGAGACAATAAGATTTTTCTTCAGAGGGTAAGAAAGGTAGTGACAGGGGATGTGTGTGTGTGTGTGTGTGTGTGTGTGTGTGTGTGTGTGTGTGTATGCATATATATGTATATCTATTGATGTCACTGGCTAGTCGACTTATTATCACACTATTAGCAAGTTTAAGTACATGCACTATATGGTTACTTATATATAACCAAATACAGAGAATCTCTTAAAAACATACCATGGATTTCTAAACATCAATTTTTACTGGCTGAGGGATCTTGTCCGTAATAAGAGATTTGCAATGTTTTCATATAATAAAAAAAAAATAAAATTTTCAAAAATGTTAAATTTTATCAAATTTTATCAAATTTCATAATAGAAGAAGTAGACTTAAGTCCAAAATAACAAAGTGATAGTTCTATCGATCATATTATAGCTATTCTAAAATAACAGAATGAAGAATATTGGTTAATTATATTCAATCTACTCATTATATTTCTTATTTAACAATTTGTTTTCAAAGTGAACTATCAGGGACACAGTGGTAAACAACACTATCAAGACACCGATCTCATTCATTATTCAATCTGTGGAGACTAGTAGTAAATAAAAAGATAAC